TTTTTCTAAAAATATTTCTGGCGGATTATATTTTTTTAATTTTTTTTAATTTCCGTCGGAAATCCGTCGGAAAAAGGTCAAAAGTTTTTTTTAAATTTAAAAATGATTTTTCTAAAAACATTTCCGGTGGAATATTAAAGAAAAAATTAAAAAATTATTCCGTCGGAAATATTTTTAGAAAAATCATTTTTAAATTTTTTTCAAAGATTAATTAATTTTAAAAGATTAATTAACCCTTAATTAAGAAATCCGTCAGAAATACAATCAGTTTAATATTTCCGGCGGAAGTCAACAAAAGTTGATTTTTTTGAAGTCAGCCGGAAATCCGCCGGAAAATTACCGGCAGAAAACGTCTGCCGGATATGACGCCGGAAATACCCAGTTATCTAGTAGTGTACGAATAGTATGATTAAATCTTAAAAGTCAACCTACAAAACAATAATCTTATTCCAGAAAGAAGTGTTGAAGCCCAGCACTAGACATCTGCATGTAACTTCTTTTTTGGGTATGCTATTTTCATCAAAACTACATATGGTGTAAAAACCATCTTTTAATTATATATGAGCGAATTTTGAATTTCATCTCTGTGTTTTGATTTTTTTTGGTCTGGTTTCTATACCATGTTTATTGTGGATTTGGTCATTGTGGTATTCAATTTGTCCCGTCCATGAGCATGGTCCCTCTGATTAACATCGTTTGAAATAAATTCATTAACTCAGTTAAATCAAGGGTCATTTTAGTCTTTTAACACCTTCTCTCTCTTATTTTTCTTTTTTCCATTAAAGAAAGTAAAAACGATATTATATATACATACATATATAGAGGAGCAATCAAATGAAAACCACTCCAATTTGTAAAAACCGTAAAAACTACTATCATCCATCGTTAATCTTATGAAATTTTTTCATGAAATTGTTAATCTTGTGAAATTGTTTCATATAATATTTTTTTTATGAAGTTGTTTCATATATGGTTATGAAATTGTTTCATATACTATTTAATGAAATTTTAATGAAACCGTTTCATGTATTTATCTAAAATTAAAATAATGAAGATGATGATATCCATGATTAACACCCTCCACAATAAAAATGGTTAATCAACCTCTCATAATTACAAAAAGTTGAACAAAATGAAAAATTATTATTGGTTGAATGAGGTTTTCACGGTTTTTACAAATTGAGTGGTTTTTATTTAAACCCACCCCTATATATATATATATATATATATATATATATATATATATATATATGCATGTCAATATCGGTGTCAAATAAAATAAGATATCGTTTTTGATATGCTTAATGCTTTTTTAATTAAAAAATTAATTATACCATAGACGATTTAGATATTTTTTTTAAATTTAGATAAATGTGTGGGCTTCCAAAACCTCATATATTTATATGAAAAGATAATTTCATTTTTAATGTTTACAAAAGGATAAAATACAAATATTATAGAAATCGAAGACTTTATATGCATTATTGATTTCTACATAATATTTCAACACTTGTATTCTTCAAAAAAACACAAAAATTTAGTAGGTAAAAAAAACTTAAACGATTTATAGTGTGTGTGTATATATATATATATTATTGTTTTTACCTTTTTAGTAGGAAAAAGACAAAAAAGAAAGGTAAAAAGACTAAAATGATCCTCAATATTTGACAGATTTATTTTAACGGTGTTATTCAGAGGAACCATAGCTGTGACAAATTATATACCATATGGAACAAATCCATAACAAACGTAATATAGGGATCCTGGACAAAAAAACATCGGACCAAATCTATATTTCACTTTTTTTATAATAATTTTATTAATTAGCATCTTGACTCATATCACTTACATTTCACAATGCAGCGTGATACAAATGGAATTCATAGGTATAGGAAGAAGCCCTATCAATTAGAGATTTTTTCTGAGTTCATTCTCCGAGCAACTCCGTTTAACCGGTGGATTCCTTTCATAAAAGACTTGTTTTTGGTAAGAGATGGATATTACCATATGTAAATTCATCGCGATTTTAATGTTTCGTTTTATTCTGTCTTGTCAATGTTATAATACGCTTTTATGTGGTTTTGAAAAAACGATAATGTTTTTATGTTTGAATAAAATATAAATTAGAGATTCCATAAAAAATTTGAAAAAATATCGATATAAATATCAAATTAACTATTTAAAAATTCTCCGGTTTTTGTGTAATTTCTTTAATTCAAATTTTTATTATTATTCAATTTAGGTTTAATAAATAAATAATTTATTTTTGGTTTAATAATATATTTTTTTATAAAAATAATAACTAAGTATTCTCTAACATCCGTATTTTCTTAACTTTTGGAAATTCTAGAAATTTGAGTCTTTTGGTTTAAAACTCCTTTTATTTCATAAAAGTTTAAGGTCTAAATCCTTGCCGAGGTTTGTGGGAGTTCTAGGTCGAAGGACCAAATCAAGACTTCGGAAGACCAACATGAGGGCCAGGCAGCTTTTTGGGTGGTTGAGCTACTGGATGGTGCTCATATGCAGGCGGAGGAAAGTAACCAAAAGAGAAGTCAAGGAGCCTTGTAAGGCCGCCTATGCCGCACCAACATAAGTCGCCCACATAAAACATTTGGGGCACAGTGTGTGGTCGACGGCGTGGCATCAAAGGATGGGTGACTTGGACCGGGCAACCCAAGGCGAATGGGTGGCGCACGGGGTATGCTAGGCGCCTAAAGCGCAACGCCTTTTCTACCTCTTCATTTGGAACCTTTATTGTATTATAATTCTAGGCTATATCAAAAGGTGAAAACTTGATGAATAAAAAATCGATGCATATCAACCAACTAGTGTATTATTGCACAATATTCTGTTTCTCATGAAGAAGTTTATCTAGTCACGGTTTTAATAGGGTGTTATATAATATATACATATATAAATCATATTGGAATCTATATAATCTGATTTTTATGAAGAAAAAATAAATTCAAGAATGCTTTTATCGAAAAAAATCTGATAAATTAAATTGGTTTATAAATTGGTGTGAATTTAGGTTCTGATACTATTTGTTATCATTATATGGATTATCCTTAAGCATATAATAATAAAGATGAAGGCATAGGAACATGTACACGTATCAAAAATCGATTCAACATGATAACATAAAACGTTTAATGGGTGTTTGAGATTGCTTATAAAAACAACTTATTGACTTATTCCAGTGTGACACCGGTAATAAGTACTTTTAAGTGTTTGAATAAACAACTTATGTGCCAAACGTAATTAGGAGTTTTTAAAGAAATTAAACCATTCTAACTTATAATAAGTTGATAAACATTTTTCTAGAAAATCATAAGTTATTTCAAATAAGCAATCCCAAACATCCCCTTAGTAGAACTAACCTGAAGCACTTGAATTATACACACCGAGGTTCATTGAAGTGGAAGCGCCCAATGTTGTGTGTAGATTGAAGCCTTCTAAAGCTCTATATGGTTTGTTTCAGTATGGATTGAATTGAATGCAATATCGTGTAGGCAACAAGGAATTGATCACCTTTATTTATAGGCCCTAGAAATCTAGAGACTTATTCGACAAGGACTCATAGTTTATCTTTAGGTTTGATTTTCAAATAGGAGACGATATACACTTAATTAACTTAATGAATGACGTTGGTCCCGTTAGGGTCTATAAGATGTGTATAACAATTTGTAGAGGGGGGGGGGGAATGAATACAAACACAGTAAACTTTTCAAATTTAAAATATATATTGATAAAGAAGGATCAATACAAATTTTACAAGATTGTTTGCGAAAAGATAAGGTAAGTAAAACCTATCTAAACAATCTAAAGTTACACACTAGTTCTTAGCAAATAAAAAAAAGATTTGTTGTAAAAGACGTAGAAGAAAGTAAGTTCTTTTTAGGTAAGAACTATTTAGAATACAATAAAGAGATTTTAACTTGCTTTTGAAGATAACCGTATTGTGTTCTTAAATGTGTGTTCTTTTACTTATGAACGTAAGTTAGGGTTCAAGAGTAAGTATCAGTATCTCTGCATGGAGATAGAACACATCTATTTATACCCATTGCATTAAATGCACATTTAATGCAACGTAGTAGGGTTAGAACACGTGCCAAGCCTTTAGAGAAAGACTTGTCCTTTGCTACAGTGAATAATACAAAAGACTACTTATGAACAAACATCATTTCACAAAGTTGGTGGGTAGTAGAGTCAACTAATCAGCTTCGTACCGTACTATACTTTAGAAAGGGTATGAGTTTGTCATTTGCGTGTATAAGGACAAGACAAAAGCAATCGTGCTCAACAAGCTTCTTTTGATCGCTGAATGCTGGAATGACCTGAAGGTCTCTTCAGCATTCGCTGAGGCTTGGGCAGTCTTCATACATGTGTAGACCAGGTTGTAATCACTGAATACCACTTCAGATCACGTACTCGTTAGTCTCTAATCTTCAGTTTCAGTCTTCGATTTTCGCTGAAGGTTCTTTGGTATGAGTTACTGAATACCGTTTCAGATCACGTACTCGCCAGTCTCTAATCTTCAGTTTCAGTCTTCGATTTTCGTTAAAGGTTCTTTGGTATGAGTTTTGTCTTCTTGAAGTATCACTGTCGCTGATAGAATTACAATGCATGTTCTCAGCGATCACTGATCAGACTCAGTGATGATCGCTGGAACTGAATGACAAAAACATAAAATACTTCGTATAAGGTAAAAGAGAATATCATCAAATCACTGAGAGAGAATCAACAAATGATCCTACTTATATTAGAAGACATATATCCAAATAAGAAACTGGATTATAACTGATATAGGAGGATTCTCTTAATAAGTATAATCATTTAAATCGATCGTCCTTTAATATTTTATATAAGATAATGTTAAGGTCAAATTTAATTGAATCCTCTATAGCCGTTGGCTAGAAGCAATAAATGATTGGCCCATTTAATTTGCAAATTCAACCCAAGCAATTTCAGTCGGTCATTTTTCCAACCGGTCAAAATGACTATTTTAATTAATTTCCTTTCGCATTCCTCCAAACCCATACTCCAAAAAACATGAGGACCCAAAAATATTCAAATAACAAGAGCCCAAAACAATCTGATGAACACCTGCTTAGTAACGAGGAACTAGAGCTGTGGAACACTAGATTCATCTTCAAACTCTGAAACAGAATTTGCAGATGGTGATAAAAACTTAGAAGCTACAGGATTCAAGTTCCGATCATCACTCCTTATATGCATCACACCATTACACAACCAAACCCACCACTCCATCGACTTCTCTCCGTTTTCGCCATCTGTATAAGCATTGTCTTCTTACATCTCATAAGCATTTGTGTATCACTGTCTCTTAAGTTGTCCTTTTACTTAGTTAATGGAATATATTTGTTCCAAACTCTGCAAAACTTCTTCACTTGAAGGTCTAAGCCTAGGTTCCATTGCAAGACATTTTGATGTGAGTTCCGCGTATCTGGAAGCAGCTTTTAGGGGGTAATTCTGTCCAAGACGTGGATCCATAATTCCCTTTAGCTTGTTTCTTCTTGCTAGCATTGGCTTTTTCCATTCTACCAAGTTCGGATGCTCACTGGGCTGATTCTTGTCCATTGCCCGTAGACCGGTTAGAGTTTCTAGCAAGACCACTCCAAAACCATAGATATCACTCTTAGCAGTCAAATGACCTGCAACATTGAAGTGTGTTGTTTAGAATCACAATGAGTATGATCTTCTGAATTTGTCTAATATTCGTTGCCCAATTGGGTTCCAAAGTAGAGGGATTGACTTTCGGATAAGTGCATTGAGTTTGTCTATCGTTCTTGTAAAAATATAACTTCTAGGAAGCATGATGTTTGTTTTATTATATATCTAAAAAATGCTTAATCTTATGCTTTGCAAGACTAATATTTCGAAAGAATGATGATATGCTTCTCACATAAATCAAATACGACATTTGTAGATGTTAATCACTCATGCAAATATCAACCCTCTGCAGCTTCTAAATATCTTCTTCATTATATGGCAACGTACCAGTCGCCATGTACTCAGGGGCTGCGTAGCCATAGGTTCCCATAACTCTTGTAGTGACATGTGTTTCCCCGATTTCAGGACCACGTTTTGCTAACCCAAAATCCCCCAGTTTTGCATTAAAATCCTGGAATTGGATAAAAATCAAGATAAAGGTTTAACTTTGATTGCATAAAACAATAATTAACCGCCATAAATCACGAATAGCCCAAGATTACTTGATCTAGCATTATATCAGAGGTTTTAACACCACGCAATATGACTTGAGGTGTTGATGAATGCAAATAAGCAAGTCCACGGGCAACTCCTGTCATTATCATAAGGCGTGTTAACCATGAAAGTGGTGTTGCATCTGCAAAATTATTCATGTTACATAGTTACTTGATTGCGAAAAGTTCAACTTTTGAGAAAAATCAATCCAACAGTAGTTATAGAAATTCTAATATAGCTTACTTGTGAATAATAAGCGATCAAAACTTCTGTTCTGCATGTACTCGTAAACAAGCAATAATTCTTGTTCATCACTGCAGTATCCCAAGAGACGAATGATATTTGGATGAGCTAACCGTCCTAGGAAGCTCACCTCTGCCTAAACTCACAAAGTTGTTTTAAGTTGCATTCAGCAAATAGATTGAAAAAGTTCACAGCAGAATTCTACAACAGAAGTCCTCAATTGCATTCACAAAATAAAACATGGATCAAAGAAAAACATATTCCTAAGCACAATAACAACTAAATCATTACATGTTCCCATAGGCTCATCTCTCACTCATTTCAACCACATTCAATATACGTCTCCTTTTGCATTGTTCAAATGCGATGCTCTTTCCCATTTCTTGTTTGATGGTTGTAGTTTGAGCATTTATGTGGCAGAAAATACTCCTACACCGTTGCTGCGAGAAGGCTCTAAATAATGATGGAACCTTGACAAATTAGTATGTTCGAAGCCCAGAGAAGGTCAAGGTTCTTTTAAGACTTTCTTGATAGGAATTTGTGTTGTATAGAAATCTTACTTTTCTCGTGATTTGGTGTTCTTTTAGGAGAGCGATAGGTTTTTGGATGCTCCTCTCTGTGAGGCTGTTATGACATCTTAAGGTTATTACCTAAGCCGCATACATGTTCAAAGAACCAGCATACGAATTGGTTATTGCTAGAGGTTATGGGCCTGCACCTGAAAATGGCTTCAAGGATACGCCCTGTAGCCAGCTGATTGAGAGCGTCCTAAGAGTGATTAACCTCTGCTTTACATGACATTTACTATCCGCAAAGGTGATCGGACTCAAGTCTGAGATGTGGTTCCTTAAGTGACAGCAGTCCTCAGTACAATTTAAGCTGCATCGGATTTATCATCTCTCATTCGTTTCTAACAGCCACTCTATATGCAGTTGTTCGAATGTCATGCCCTTTTTATCAACTCTTTAAGTAAATTATGGAAGTTCTTCATCAAAACAAGTAGCTTATTACCCTTTATTGGTTAATTAAATTGAGGAATTTTCTTTTTACAATTTCTAATCCTCAAATCACCGAATTACTTTACCCTTAAAACTAAAACTAACAAAAGAAGAATAATACAAGATGTTGTCCGAGAATCATTTATAGACTTTGTTAGAGAAATGCTATACCAAAAATTTCAAGCATGAATAAAATTACCAACATTATCGTCTAGTAAAAGTATCCCAATCTATAGAAATAAGTAATTGAACGATGAACTAATTAATTCGAAAGGAAGACAAGATTTAAAAGTCAACACTTTTCAATAGAAATCTAAATTTCTTGTGTTGATTATATAGATATAAACTGATGTGCAGATTATTGATACTTACCTGCCATTCAGCATGTCCTTGAACTCCTTCTCCATTGAGCCTTTTGACAGCAACACCAATTCCAACACCATGTTTTGATGGGGCGAATGTGTTCTTGTCGATCCACCCTAAAAACACCCCTCCGAAACCTCCTTCACCCAACTGCAGCTTTGGACTAAAGTTACTTGTAGCCTTTTTCAGATCAGTAAACTTAAATTCTTTAAAACTTGTAGTTTTGTTATCTGTAGGAACTTCTCTTGTGCCCAGAAACATATTGTGTTTAGACCCTACAGCATTATCAACACTGCTGCTGTTGCTCTTGGTATTACTTGATTGCTTTGAATTGGCTGAAATATATGTATACAAAACAGATTATAATCATATAAATAATTGTTATTCTAACTTTTCCACCATCATAGTGTGGTTCTTCCAATCAGATGCTTATCCTTAGGTTTCGATATAGATAATAAGAATTCTCCAGTTTCCTAATCCTTACAACATTGCACCTACAACTTATAAAGCATCTCACACTAGATGAACCAAAGAATCTCCCATCAAGGTTGTAATGCGTCTTCATCATGAATATGTAATATGTTATTTCTCTTTCTTAAATAGTGGGTTTTAGAGATTTCTCCAAATTTACATTCTCTCTCTATTTTAGCATACAATATAGCGTAGCTGATGGAGCAGCAAGCAAAAAAATCTCTAAAACCATCAAAATCTCTATTTTAGCATAGCTGGTTGGACATGCTCTAAGGAAGTAGTAAGAAAACCTAGACAAGGAAATACTCTCGTGTTTTTTATGTCGGGATTTGAAAACTACATATTTTCATTGATGTTGTGATCATATATGTCAGGTTACCGGTAGAGCCCAACCTGGAGGTCAAGTGTTTAAGTCTCACCAAAGAGAAGTGTGTGCGAGTTTTTGGGTATAAAAATTTCTATGTACACACATAAAAAGAAAATGTAAACACAATTCTAGTGAGCTTGAAATACCAGAACTCTCTCCATTGGTGAGGACGGGAAACATATCAACCATCCAACCAAATATAGTTCTATTGGCTACAGGTTGCAGTGAGTTATTGAATTTCTCTTGTAAGGCCAGTACAGACTCAAGACTGGCCACGACTCCAGCCATGGTAGAGCGTTGCTTTGGATTGTTGTGCAAACAGCTCTCTACAATTCGAACAAACTCTCTCAAACATTTTGGGGATATTTGATCCTTTATACCAGAATCAATTATGTGCTTCAGTTTTCCTTCTTTAATGGATTCTTGAGCCCATCTTGCTAAATTCCATTGCTCCTCATCAAGAGTTGCATCCACAGCACGCTTCCGACACAACACTTCCAACAATACCACGCCAAGAGCATACACATCAGACTTCCGTGTCAACTTTCCGGTTGCATAATAATCAGGATCTAAATACCCAAAAGTGCCTTTAACAAGGGTGTTGACACAAGTTGATGGTTGATTCGTTGGGCCGATTTTGGACAACCCAAAATCTGAAATTTTAGCTGCCCAACTTTCATGTAACAAAATATTTGAGCTCTTGACATCACGATGTATAACCCCAACCTGAATCCCTGTACCAGTGTGTAGGTAGTGCAATCCACGAGCAGCACCTATGCAGATATTGAGACGCTGAATCCAAGAAAGAGGWGTRCCAAGTTTATGGAGATGATCTTCAAGTGTACCATTGGGCATATATTCATATACAAGGATCATCTCTTTTCCATGATTACAATAWCCAAACAAAGACACAAGATTACAGTGYCGCAACTTAGATAGCATCTCAACTTCCGTCCAGAACTAAGCTGCTCCTTGTTTGGACATGGAATCCAAGCGTTTAATGGCAGCATCGACAAGACTTGGTCCATTGGTAACATTACATTTGTAAACTTTTCCAAAACCCCCACGTCCAATTACTAAGGATTCATCAAAGTCGTTAGTTGCAAGCTGAATCTCTAAAAAATCGAAGTGACGGCACGGTTGTGACCCTTGTAAGCCGGAGGTGGGGGAGGATGAAGATTCAGACTCCATGCCTTTATCAGTAGCAAGCAAAGAACGTAATTATTGATGAAGCAGAAAGCAGAAGATGAAATGGTTGGTCGAGTCACAGATGATGATGTTATAGCTTAAAAGTGGACCCACGAAATGAGAAGCTTTTTCCAGGAAAGAGAGATGAAGCCACCACTCAAAATTTATATTTAAGTTCAATCATTAAATTGATGGTTTCTTGATTACATATTGGTGTCATTTGGGGGAGGGTATTCAAGTATCCGCTTGATTGCCGCTTTGGTTTGTTTAATGACACATAGACATTCACTAATGCTTAATTACTTTTAGTATGTAATTAATTGGAAAATTTACATTAAAATAACACTAACTTTCATTGAATATTTATTTTAACAAACCAACTTTAAAGTTATCATTTTAAGAACGTAACAAATTTTTCATATATTTAAGGGTCTCGGTTACATGTTCAATAGATAACGGTTATGTAAAAATGATGTAGCAAAAAAATAAAAAATAAAAACTTATGTGAATGTTAAAACAACCACATATACACCGAATCCAGATTCAATGTCTTAATTAAAAATAAAATACAATAGTATATATTAAAGAAGAAATCATATATAATGATTGCCATACTGTGAGATTTGAGTATTTTTTAAATCTTGAAATGTGATTAAATTTGTTTATTTCACACTGGTGGAAAGAAATAAAGTAGAAGGAATAAAATGTGTATATATATGATGTTGGCTCAAATGAGTCAACTCTTTTATTTGCAATTGTTATTATGAGATTTGAATATTTCTTAAATCTTGAAATGTGGTTAAGTTTGTTTATCTCATATAAAAAGATGAGTTTAAAATATTGGGATGACATCTTAAGAGTGATGTATTTTAAATTTTACGTTGTGGTTGGTTTTTGAAAATCTCACATTGATGAACAAATGATAGATTGATATAGCATGATAAGTATATACAAAATAAGCATATAATGCTTTTTAAAATTAAAAGAGCAATATGACTATGTAAGCCGTTGTTTGGCCAATTTTGGAGTGATAGTCTTTTCTTAAGGAACAACAATCGAAGTTAAGGTGTCATCGTATAATTTGAGTATCCTCAAAGTCATGACTTATAGTATTGTTTAGTTTTCCTACATTGCTAAGAAAATAATATATTGACAAAATAAAGTTGAATATTTCTTAAATTTTGAAAAGTGGTTAAGTTTTCTTATCTCATATAAAAAGATGACTTTAAAGTATTGAGATGCATCTTGATAATGATGCATTTTAAAATAGTTTTTATTATTATAGAGGAATAATAATTGAAATTGAGGTGACATCATAACATTTGAGTATTCCGAAAGTCTTGAAATATAGTATTGTTCGGAAATCCCACATTGATGAAAAAAAATGATTGATTGATAGAATGTGATAAACATATATAAAATAAGCATGTGATGTGTTCGAAAATTAAAAGAGCAATATAATTATGCAAGCCATTGTTTGGCCTCTAACTTTGGAGTGATAGTTTTTATTACAAAATAACAACAATCCGAGTTGAGGTGGCATTATGAAATTTGTGAATTTTCAAAGTCTTGAATTAATAGTGTTGTTTAGTTTTCCTACATTGATAAGAAAATAATATATTGACAAAACAAAGTTGAGTATTTCTTAAATCTTGAAATTTGGTTAAGTTTTCTGATTCCATATAAAAAGATGACATTAAAATATTGAGATGATATTTTGAAAATGATGTATTTTAAAATGTTGTATTGTGGTTGGTTTTTGGAAACCCCACATTGATGAAAAATTGATACGTTGATAAAGTATGATAATGATATATAAAAATAAGCATGTAATTCTTTCAAAAATTAAAAGAGCAATATAACTATACAAGTCATTGTTTGGCCTCTAATTTTGGAATGATAATGTTTTTTGTTATAAATGAACAACAATCGGAGTTGAGATGTCATTATAAAATTTGAGTATTCTCCAAGTTTTGAATTATAGTGTTGTTCAGTTTTCCTACATAGATGAAAAAAATGATACATTGATATAGTGTGATAAGT